TCAATGCAAATGCAGAGCGTAATAATAATAATAATAGAAATGTTATGTCAAGCGTTCACATAATTTATTATCGGTCCGCCGGACCGATTTTGGCCCCTGACCAAATTTTTCCTGACAGGCCAACTAGTTCTTCGGGTCCCATAAAAATCCCTGGTAGGGTTCACGTGGAAAGTCTTTATGGCTTAGTATGATCCAAATTGTGCTTTTAGACCACAATAGGGATTAGCAATCAAAATAACGTTAGTTGGATAAGCAATCGTTGGTCCAACGACCTCCTTGCGGCATCGTACGACGGGGGTTCACGTCTGTCCAACAGTGGGGTGGGATTTCCCTTCTCCGTTGGCGCCATTACTGGTTATCATCACCATAACCCGCTAACCGACGCACGTAGCCAACATAATACCGTGAATATAGATGATGTTCGCAGTAAACGAAGCTTTGTCTTTGATTTATGGTGTCATTTACAACCCTTTCATTGGATTAACTTTCACCATACCTTATTAATTCGTTTAATTACCTGTGCAGATTATGCTGTCGTGGGACAAGTAATTTCTATTTTTAGCTTTTTAAATTGTATTACGTATGTCGCATATACGCAGTAAATTCTTTTAACGGTAAAAATACTTTTAAAAAATTAAATGTTGATAGTCGAAAATTTGATAAAAACTGTGGTGATTATTGGGACAAAAATGTAATGTTTCATGAAAATTTATTTTAAATCAATTGACGTTCGCAAATAGCAAGAATCTGTTAAGGTGTGCTATTTTCGTATCATTGATTATTAATATATTCACAAATCTGCATTGTAGTTTCTCGATTGAAGTACATTCAAAACTTTTTTTTTATCGACTAGAGGCCTAAAGTAACTTGATGCGCGTTTTATTGTGTTTAAGCATTCATGATAGCATTGAAATTGAAATATTTAGTATGAGTTTATTTAATTGGAAAGTTAAATTAGAAAAATACGTGTAATCAAGGGACACGGGTATTGTAAATAATGATTAGGCCTACTGAAAAAAAAAACTGTTTCTTTGTTGCGCCTATTTATTATTGTTCCAGGGTTTGGTTCGGTTCCTGTGGTGAATAAATAAGGACCGATGGAATGATGAACAATAAATAGATAAATAAAACAAGACCGTAGCCAGGGGGTTTCTAGGGGTTCGAAAGAATCTCCCTTTTCCCGAAATGCCCTCTTAAATCATTATTAAAAAGGACCATTTCAAGCAAGTTTTTGAAATTAACTACAAATATTTGAAATTTTTGCATTTTTATTGCCAGCTATGGACAACTGAGGTGTTATATTTTAAAGATTTATCTCACCATGGTGGGGCAGAGGTGGATGTGGACTCAAAGTGCCCTTTTGTGAAAAAAATAGAATCCCCCTTTAAAAATCCTGCCTACAGGCTTGTAAAATAAAAATTAAAATGAAGCTGGGGAGCTGAGTTAACCGACGGGACCGGCTTTCAATTAGATCCGTCGCTATATCAGTGTCCACATGAAGAGGATTGCATAGATTAAGTTAACAGGTTCATAAAACTACGCGAAGAATAACAAACTCGATGAATTTATTGAACAATAAAATGAATACTGATGCAGATTAACTAAATTACAGCCATGTTCCAATTATTCTTATATTTTTCAGGCAAGTCGTACTGTTTCTTCGGTTCGTTCACATTTCAAAACTTATCCCGTGAATGTTACGCTGTGGAGGGGCTATACACGTGGAAATCATGCTGCTGTGATTTGCTCGGGGAGTCTTGGGGTCCTCGGTGCGAAAACTGCCCTCATGTAACGTCAGGTACCGTAAATGTTACAGACGTACTTATTCATCACATTTACACATAGCTTCATAATGCCTATATTATATAGGCCTATATATATATATA